ATGAATTTGAATTCCAGTTCGCTCGTTTAAGCCAGCTCGATTTTGGAGAGAAAAATTATAATGCAATTCCTGCTAGGGCTAATAAGATACTTGAAAACAGAAGGACCGACAATTACTATTTCTGAAAGTTAAACATTTTAAGGGGAAATTCCTTTGTCATGTTTCACTTAGACTTCAGTCCTATGGCTGTCATTCAGAAATATAAATCTTTCCTTTGATATAATGTTTTAAAATGACATCAGGCATTTATTTACATATCTGTTTTGCTGATGAGATTGCTTTTTCTTAAAAAAAAAAAAAATTGAAAGGTTATGACTCGCGTTATCACCAAAAATTCATACTTAGTGGCCCTAGAGGAAAACTTAATCCTGGTCAATTTAAAAATGTTTTCTCCGTTTTAAAGAACCTAAAAATCTCTGGAAAAATCACTGGTCTTCATCTATATGACTCTCAAGAACTCAAGAAATTGTTTCGAGCCACAAAAACAAGAGACTCTGGACGTCTGCACAACTTCTCCTGAGCAAGAGAATAATTTAGTGAGCAAAGTTAACTGTAAATTAACTGCAAAGTAAACAGCAAATGACGATTGAATAGAGAACATTGGAATCAAAAGCTGAAATTCCAGTTTATAGAAAATGTATCAAGACATTGGCTTCTGATCGACTGGTTTTGAGTCATGGTCAGTGTTTTTTGGGTTATTAAAAAAGTGCCAAATTTTGATATTCTCTCAGCTGACGAATGAGGTGAGCTTTCGAGGATGGTTGGATTTTTTTTCAGTATTAAACATTAATGACTAAGAGAGAACCTGAGTTTAGGGATTATATGGCAAAGAAATGCAACTTAGTAAGGATGTAAATCATTTTGATCATTAAGTAGAAATTACTGAGGGAAAAGTTAAAATTAGGAAACCATGTCTACGGTTAGTTAAATTATACATACATACATAGGTCCGCCTAAATATTTGGCCGAATAATACAAAAAAACCTGATAAAACAGAATCTCATTTTGACTTAGTTCTGAAACTTAAAAAGTTGAACTGACGCATGGTGGAAGATATAAGAAGGGAGGTATTGTTTGACTGATAAAAGTTTCCAACTAGAAAACACTATCTAAAACGTATTATGGTGCAAACTGAGATACAAAATCTAGCAAGGAAAATGAGACGTATCACAATAACTAAACAACTTTTTACACTGCAACTCATTGAATAAAGATAATAAAAGGAGTATTTCGAACGGCAAGAACACATTGAAATGGTGACGAGGTAAGAGGCAATCTGACATGAGCATCAACGAGAACTGCTGCAAATGGGGCACTTTAGACTTGAGCAGAAATGAGCAAGTGTAATGGTGTAAAGGATATTCAAAAGTGGTGCAAGGCCTTAAAATTCGATTATTGCAGGGTATTTATTTACTATTCGCGGTTACCATTTTAAATTTTGGAACACTACGATAAGAAAAATCGATTAACAGGGAGCGGAGATCTATTAGTTGAATTGAAGGAGATTTTCACTGTTGATCGTTTTGCTGCAGTACGTTCTGTCTTTTACGATTGCATTCGATTTTTTTTTGACACCTAGAAAATTTCAAGTGAGAATTAATTTTCTCAATTCAAAATCCGGACTAAAAATTGGGGAACATTGTTCGGTTTGAACCGTAAGTTGTAAAATAATCAATTTGGAATTGCTTTCCTTAAATATTATTCAAAAGAAACTCAGAATCAAGCTGATTAGTTAAATCAATAGTCAACAAAAAACCCTTTCAATTCTTAGTATTTCTATTGATATTATCTCTGTGTATCATTATTTGACTGTCAGGTTTATACGTTTCATATGGGAACCTAGACTACAGGCAAAAATGTTGGAAACTTTTAGGATAAATTCTCGACATAAATATTGTGTCAAAAGCTACTTAGTAAACGTTTGAACAGCAGTCTCCCTTCAGTTGTCTTGAAACAACATAATCTAAACTCTGCTAAAATGTCAAAAACATTATTTGAGTTCATACCTGGTTCTGCAGATCCTCAGTTCCTATCATAATTACCTAAGCTAAAATACATTTAGTTGCCCTAGTTTTGGCAGTTAAAAGTGAATACTAGAAAGAAATACTTTGAAACTACCTGTTAGTAAGAATTAAATCCAACCATCAAACTAAAAGTCACCTGTGCATACTGGAAAGCCAATTTCATTTTTTAACATGGATGCATAAAAATACTGCAGATAACAAAACTTGCTAAAAGAATATAGATCCAAAAACTGGTGAATATCACAGTTAAAATCTGCAGATAAAAAGGGAGTTCCGACTTAATGAAAAATGCTCAGGAAAAGTGCAACAACACGATTAAAAAGATTATTGATCATGATTGATCGATTAAAAACACCATTCAAAAGCACAACCATGAAATTTCACACATCCATCAAAATGAGTTAAAAATAATCAATGATTTGTTCTGATTTCATTTGAGAAAAAACCTCAAAGCTTGAGTAATTTATGCTGTTGAAAATAAAAATAAAACTCAATTGATTTACCTGCTGGTAAAAATTATCTATGAGCAGCTAATACCGCGATAACCTGTACCAAATCTAGAATTGTAGAAAAACTGTAGGTGCAAAACCAATACAGTTTTTATTTTTGGTGGGTACAAACTAATCAGATCAAGAGACTTCGTGCTTAAACAGTTTGTTCTAATCACACAAAAAGGAAAAGACTTTTCTGGCTCATTGATGAAAAGGGAAAAATTGGTTCCTTCTTGTGCAATTCCATCTATTTGATGTTGACATCGGTATTTTCCAACAAAATAAATTCTAGATTCAGAAACACCTTTCTTACATTATTCAATCTTGTTAATGTTTCCAAATGCTGAAATAGAAACATATATATTTCGAGCATGAGTGCAGAAAAACTTTTACCAACCGAAACGTTAAAATTAAAATTCTTAAATTTACATAACATAATCAATATTATCAATAATTCTTAGACAATGTAGCCACTTACTGGATTCTATACGAAGAGTAAGTGGTAAAAAAATATGATAATTTGTACGCGACGGTTAGACTTACACTACTAAATCCTAGAAGCTATCTCTAATAGAAGGCACCAACAAATTGATGATTTTCTTCCGAAACAGAGAGACGAGAGGAAAGAGGAAAGAGAATTACCCGATTGCTATTTAAATACTTCCTGTGAACGTGGCCTCAATGCTACGCGCTGAACAACAAACTTAGAAAGAAAATAGAGAGAAAAAAAAAATAAACTAAGCATTAACAGAATAACAAGTCGATATATGGGGGAGGGGCCAAGTGGTTTTCCTTACTATAGTACATAACAAATAAAAAGCCATAGGAACTGCAAAAAATGGAACTACATAATGTACGTACATTATGCGAAAGAGTAGATTAAATTGTTTCGGAAAACAGGCTTCCACTTGAAAGGGGGAAATGGAAAACGGAGGAATGAACGTTTGAACTGAGTTAACAATGCAGGATGAGATGCAGAATGAGCTTGTGTTTACTGCAAAGACTAAATTAAAAAAATGGAATTCTATTTTTGAAAAAAGTAGTAGATAGGTACGTCGGTTTTGTTTCCTTTCCTTGCTTGCATTAGAATTGGCGCTGCAAAGCTGAAATGGGTGGCCTATCCCTGAGGAGAGCTGTTATTTGCATGAAAATGCCACCCGAGATTACAAAAGCGCATTTTTAGGGCGTGACACTCGTTGAAAAGGGAAAAATGTAAGGAAAAAAAAGCATGGTTAAACTAAACTTAAAATTTAAAAGACAAAAAAAACGAAAATCATCGCGCACCCAATACGCGACTTGCATTCATAATCAACTAAAAACTTAACTTAAAACCTGAGACGAATCAATTCTTTGTAAACTTATCTGCAAAATTTAAAATTTAACAAAACATAAAACGATTGAGGTCTCTGCGTAGTGTTAAAAGATTGGCTTTTTCTGTTTCACAAAGATAGAAATGAGAGTGAAATTATTGCTGATGTAAGACAATTATCACAAAACTAAATTTTACAAAATTATCGCGCAACTTCTGAAATGGATGAAATGATCCACTATCCAGATTCTAGCTTTTAGTCTCAATGCTAAACTGAAAATGGTTTGTCCTTTAAATGTCTGCCACAGACTCTTGCAACAACTCTATAAAAGTCAGTAGCTTGGGAGGTTTATTATAAGGATCTGCCGATAAACTTTTAAAGTTAGGGAAAAATTGTGACTTGAATTGCTTGTTACAGTAAAAAATTCAAGCTGCAAATTGGCTTGTGTGGAAAAACTGGTGGATAGAATGCAACTTACGCAGAGAACCATTAAAAGTTCAAACAAATACGCAGAGAGATAAAAACCTAAAAAACTAAACTAAAATTTAATACAGAAATCGGAATGTCAACGGATTATTTGTTCCAATGAGTGAGGTAAAGTAACAAAAAGAGTTCCAGAAAACATCAACGAGGGGACAGAGATAAAGAAAAAATTAGATTGAACTTAAAAATAAGTAAAATTATACAGCAAAAAGTTGCAATGAATGTTTGTTACGGACGATTTTAGGGATTTATCAAGACTGATGAAACACTGACGTTGGATCTTCATCAAACCGCAAAATATCTGGCCAGTTCCCTTATGGAAACTGGCTCCCTGAGATGGGTAGGTGGGAGCAAAGAAATCATCAATATTGCCTCTTTCTCAACGCTGCATCATAGTATTGAAATCGTTTTACACGAGTAAATCGTTTACAAAAGATCGATCTCTCTGCCAAACGCATTTGAGATTATATGCTAGTCATTTCGACACAACATTTTTAAGAATTTGGTCAACACCAAATTGAATTGGTCATTCTCATGAAGGCTTAAGCACCAAAATTAAAATACAAGAAAAACGCCCAAAAAAGTTTAAATCGACCCATTCCAAATCTTGTAGCTCCAAAATATATATTAAAAGCATTTGATTAGATTAATCACACTGTTTAATCTAAGATTTGAAATGGGTCGATTAACACAGTTTTTACTGTTTTTGTTGCATTTTCATTTCTGCAACTCAAGTCTTTTTGAAAACGACTGATGCAATTACGGATTGATTGAAGAAAGAAAAACAGAATGAGAAAAATAATGAAAACTAAAAAGTGATTCTGTGCCAGTAATGATGAAACAGCTCTATTTGGACTTAAATTTGTTGATTTGTTTAGAAATATATAGGCAAAAAATGAAAAGAAACAGTGAAAAGGCGCACTTCGGCTGCCTATTTTTGAAACATCTTGAGACCAAAAATTCACTGTTTGATATGATAACTCGATGAAGATATTATGCTTTTGCTTTTCATCTCTTTGCTTTTGGCTAATGGCTAGGGTTTCCTACATTGGTTTTTCAGGATTAGGTGGCTGAAATATGCTTGAAAATGTTATCAATGTTTTTTTGAAATCCGGTTCAGCATCACTTGACTATTCATAAAGACCTGCTGTATTGCAAATAATACTCAATGATCAAGATAAGAAAAAAAAGGAACAAAAACAGGTAGAAGTAATTAAAATATTGAATCGATTCTACTAAAATTTAAATATGTAAGTAGAATGTCCTGGATAGTAGAGATCTAAGCTGTACTTTCATTGTTGATATCATAAGTGCAGTAAAAGAGGCAATATGATGAAACTCGAAATTAAGGGCAACAAATAAACAAATAAAGCAAGTAAAAATAAGTTAACCCGTGTCAGCTAATAATATGGAATGAAAAAGGAGGTTTAGCCACTGAAAATTGCTGCGGATGAGTAAGCGTATTATAAATGGCGAAAGTTTCAGCAGTTTGCCAAAGATCCAGGCTAGTAGAAAAAGTATCAATACTGAATAACAATACACGAAAACAAAATGATTCAAGCACACAGAGACAAGGAGAAAACGGTATGAAATTGACAGATCCAACAAAATACAAATTAATTAAGAAAAAAAAATCTCGACTGTTAAGCCCCCAGAAAAGGTGGAAACATCTACGCACGGAGAGGAAAAAAAACCCCCCTCATGACTAGTGTGAATTAAATTATGACATTTTATACTTGGAATAATATTCATACGAGCCGTAGAGGACAACATTCTATAGCGGTGCCAATTTACCGTTTTTGGAGGAAAATTTGTATGGATGTCCGTCTTTCAAGAACAGGTTTTCTAGGGGCTTGACAGGTGGGGTGGAAGGGAAATAACCTGAAATCTACGAATGTTTGATCGGTTCGGTCTGAGACTTAATTCACTTGAGACAAATCAAATATGGACTGAACGCTGAGGGGTAATTATGCCTGCTGGGTTCCCAAGTCTACCAAAATAGATTTAAAAAAATTTAAAAAACGTTTACAAAACTTCAATTTGTACATATGTTTGAACTTTAGTGAGAAATTGCTTGAGAAATGAAACTTTCGAAACTCAAATTTGCCTGGAGAGCAAATGAGGGCAAAAAGGAAAACATTTCAGTGTAAAAAAAGGAGGGATGACTGGGGAAGAATAAAAGATAGGTACAAATTGTCAACAAGAATAAGTATAAAAAATCTAAGAAAAACTACAAAAAAAATATGCGATCTGAGGCAGAATATTTTTTTAACCTGCAGCATTAGGCCAATTACTTCCTTATCCATACTGACTTGTTTTATATATTCCAAACACAGAGTTGCAGAACTTCTATGGTGTGGGATTTAGTATTACAATGGCATTGGAATAAATTTGGAATTTAAGGAAAATCTAAGCCAGAAGCAGACAAACATTGGAAAAATCAAACAGATTTCTTTAAAGTACCGATTCTATTTTTCCATTTTAACAAAAAAAAACGGAACTATTAGGACCAGAAGTATGTTCCACCGGTTTACTCCCAAAATTCTTATTTCAAAACCGTAAATTAAAAGCAACAATATCCGAAAGCAAAAAAACCCAATTTGATTGGTCAAATTGAACGTTGAATTTTTATGTTCACATGATTTCAACTTCAATGAAAAATTTTGAGCATAGCTGAAAAACATGTGCTTCTTGAGTAAATGGTTCAGTTTTTTGTTAAAAACTAAAACAACTTATTTCAATGATTGTAAACTTCTGGAGTAAATTGACCCTTGACTTAGAGTAGATTCAAAACTGTATTACGTGTAAAAGGTATGGTGTTAAAAAGTATAAAATCTACCAAAGGGGAGCAAGATGAAGAAGCGTTGGTTAAACTGTATCAATGCTGCATGATAAGCAGGAATCACCACAAAAAAGTTATCATTGGTATTGGAACCTGAGATTAAGAATATTATATGTAGTCAGAACTTTATAGATCAAAAATTAGATTCCAACCTTAACTGCGAACCTAAATGTTGACCAAGTCTTTGGAAAACTTTCTGCCAAGAATAATGAGTTCTGACTCCGACTACAAGAGTACACAGAATGACTGCACTAAAAGGCACCATACAGGCATAATTACACTCAGCTGATTTTACACTTAACCATTAAAAACTGATGCTAATGACAAAATATGCCTCACCGTATGAATAATATAACTGCAAAATAATAGTAGTCAATGAAAATTATGATGAATCGTCATATTAAAAATAGTTAAAGTAGTTATGAATACACTTAAAGTAAAAATAGAACTTACTTTAAAAACAATCAGGTACTGAGATGAACAATGAGTTTTGTAATAAAATATATAAAGTTAACATACCAATGATTACGAAGAAAAAAAATCAGTGACTGATAAAAGATCTCGTTAATGTAAGGTACATCACTGAGAGGCAGGCCAGTGGGAGGAAGTTTGATGCACAAACTCAAACTTCCAGAATAGTGGTGTTTGTTAACTTGGAATCAGGTCACGCTCACTGAAAGAAAAGAACACAAACCATGAAATAGTCCGCAAGGGAGCAATTAATATTTACAGTTAATGATACAGCCTGCAGGCTAATTATTGAGGTTGATGGAAAAAGCGATTCACAAAGAGGAAAAATCGAAAATGGGACGATCGAAAGTGGGTGGTTGCAATGGACAAAGAAAGTACAGAATAAACTAACGAACGGCAAACCCTGAGAAACCTCATAGTTAGTCTATTATTTTCCCTCTTGAGCTATCAGAACCACCTGTTTCAACCGATGGGATCACTTTATTTTTCCCATTATCTCCTCAGTCTATTGATTTGTTTAACAAAATCAATAATCAGCCTTCAAGACAGAGAATCAAAAATCACAGTGTGGCTTCAGCAACTGTTGACATTCTGGAAAATAATTGAATACGACCATTAAAGCTCAGAGGGATTTTCGTTCCGGGAGGGAAATTTTTTTGGGGAAAAGATTTTCATCTAATTGGGTCAGAATCAAAACTTCCTTTTTACACAGAAAATGCTCTCTACTTGTAAAAATAAGTCACAAGAGGTCTGGCTCATTTTGGTGCCAAGAGAGAACATGAAGTTATACTCAAATATGATAATTTTATGCGGAATAATTTCTGTGAATTTTCCAAAAATGGTCTAGAAAAAGCAAAGAAGGTGACATGAAATTTTGCATGGTAACAATGACTGATTCTTCTTCAGGAAAATGAAAGGATGATAGGAAATCAGAACTGTCACAAATTAGGAGAGGTGTTGTACAAACATTTCTTTCTGACAGGAAAGTTGGAGATCCTGCGATCTAAAGACATTAAAGTAAGTCTTTTGAGGCAAAAATATTCAAAAGTTTTTTTTCTGAAGAATAATCTCACCTTGACACCTAACTATTAGGTCCAACAGTTGTGGCAAGGTGCGACGGTGGGTAGTGGGAAAAATGACTCTCGCAAAACCCGTCATCTGGTGGATCCGAATACTTCCTGATCGGTGAGCATGGCCTCTTGTAGTTGTTGAATTTGTAGTACGAGCACGGAGCACTGTTCTGATTCGAGTCCTCGTCCATCGATTTGCAGTCTGCATTAAGTCGACATCCGTCCAGATCAGATTCTGTTCGGCTGAATCGATAGCCGTCCAACCCGTGGTCTGACTCGGTTCGGTCGTTGCCTAACCCTGAGTCACCTCCTTCCTCTCGCTCTTCGGAACCTTCGCCACCGAACCCGAGAGAGGTGAGCTGCGTCTCATTGAGCGGTCCACTTAGCAGGCTGTCTCCTTCACCACATTCACGATCGCGCATATCAAAGTCGCGGATAAACTGCAACAAAAAGTTACATCCTAGTCATAGTCATGTGTCAAAATATAATTTCGAACAGGTCCTCTTTCAGGCATTTTCAAAGCGGGTGCTTTTTGCCATGAAGGATTTAAAAAATATGAGAAAATTCCAAGTTTGGTTCTAGTTTACTCAATAAACGGCTTTCATAAAATGAATAAACAAAATGGAAGCCACTGGCCATTAAGAGAAGTAAGTTATATGATAATAAATTGTAGGGCTGTGCGAGCCTGGTTTTTTGGATTCGAGCCGAGTTCGAGTATTTTTTCACTAAGTCGAGCCGAGTTCAAGCTTTTTCGAGCTTTGAAAATGACCCTCGAGCCGAGTCGAGCTCGAGTCGAGTTCGAGTAATTTCGAGTTTTAAAACGTGATTTAATCTATTTTCTACAACAAATAATTTCAAACAAGACTCATAATATGATATTAATAATTATTGACAATGACACACTAGGAAGGATTTACACTAAAATTACAAAATGTTCGGCAGTAACGCGTTAAAATAACTTCCCGCGGTTTAATTTGAAAAGAGGACAAAACTGGGCAAGAAGCGGCGTGGCGCGGCGTACATCAAAGGAACTTCGGGCGGCACAAGTAAAGGCTTTAGAGCCCATTTATGCACGCAATTCGTGTCGCCGGCGGCAGTTGTCGCCGCGACGTTTTTTGGAATCGCGCGATTCCTATTTTTGTAGCCGCAGCACCTTTTTTCTGCCGCCGCGACACCGTTTTTCTGGAGCGCAAAAGGTCCAAAACACGTGCTCACTTTCAGTTTTCCAAGCGGCGGTCGCCGCCGCATGTTGAAATTTGTCGCGCGCATAAATGCGCTCATATGACTCCGTGTAGTTACAAACCGCGCGCGCGGCAGGAAATCGCCGGGCGGTAGCGTGTTGGCGCTGCGGATGGTAGAAATTTGCCGACGAGACTCTGATGTTATTCAATCTTAAAATGATGGCAAAACTAAAAAAAATAGTTAAAGTATGATTGAAATGTTTGGAAGTTGGACTCTTTCGGCGTTTCCGGCTCAAAAAAACTCGAAATACTCGAAAAAACTCGTGTTGTTGACACTCGAGCCGAGTTCGAGTACTCGCTCGAACCTAACCTAACTTTCGAGCCGAGTCGAGTACTCGATACTCGGCTCGACTCGACTCGAAATTCGAGTACTCGCACAGCCCTAATAAATTGGCAATATTTATGTGTGGCAATACACACTGCAAACAAAGGTGCCTAGCAACGCATGCTTAGAAACCATGCCGGTTTCACTTTCCGATATTACCCTTTTTTGACGATGAAATCCCGAAATCATGACAGGGTGAAAATTGAAATAGCCTGTGTCACTCACAGGATGGGAGAGGATCAGTATACAAGTTTCCGAGAACATCAGATAAATGGTACGGCCCCCAGTTTGTGAAAATGGTAAAAATTGCTCTTTAATTTATAAATAAGAAAGAAAAGATTAATGCTAATTGGATACATGGAAAAGTGATGGTGAATTACTTACATGTGGATTTTCTGTGATTCGAATTGCTGTTAGGGGTCCATTTTGGATACTGTTACACAAAGGCAATCTGAGACCATTCAATGAGCCAATTTGATAGCCACCCTAGAAAAAGAGAGAATAAAAATTCAAATTAGGATCACAACCAGCTTGTTTAAAAAGATAAGAACATGATATAAGCTGAGGATGGAGTGAAAACTAAACAAAAAAATTTTAAACGAACAAAATTTGTGATGAAATATAAAAAATTAAACAGAAATTAACAATTGAAGAAAAGCAAACCACAAACTTAAATGGACGAGAGCATACTATATTTTATGGGAACAATGCACTTGAAAATATTTTAAGACTAACTTTAAACCAAAGAGGGTTATTCATATAGGCGAAAAATGTACCCAGCCCGGAATGTACGAAACTTTGTGAGCTGATAGTACTAGTTGAGAGAGGCTTATCCCTAGCTCCGTTTTTGCAGGAACCCCAGGGAATCAGCGTTGCCATTTTTTAAAGTCGTAACCTTCAAACACCCATAACTTTCGCAGAAATGCAGTTACAGAGCTCGTATTTACACCAAAAGATGCAAAAAATTACGTTCTATCGACCAATGCCAAAAAAATTTTAATTTGACTCCATTGTTGCCACGTTTTGGCCATTTTTTTAATTTTCGTAATTATTTAAAATCACGTTACCGCCTGAAAAAGTGTTTGCGGTTGGTGGGGATTGAATAAAAACCTGTCGGAATTATTGTTCGTTCGATTCCGCATCCATCGATATATTATACTTTTCTGAGAGACTTAGAGAACACGAGTTATAGCGATTTGAAAATTCGGCAACACGCCCTATACCCCGATATTGACGCTCGTTTAGGTACGTTTCGCAACTCCATGTTAAAGCAAAACGCCTAGAACAAACAAAATTCGAAAAGTCAGTTCATGTTTTGCGCTTTTTTGAAACTTTCACATGATTTTTAGGAATTCAAGTAGCGGCGGTGTTGCCGGTTTTCAATGAAAACCACCGCTGCCATCACAATTTAAAGTAGTACTCATTTAATCTTATCCAGCTACATTTGCTAACCTAAACTGACCATTTGCGCCATGGTGTTGACAACATTGCCTAATTTCCGTCGGAATTCGCGTAGAGGCGGGGTTGCCAGTTTTCATGGAAACCGCCACCGCAATCACAAAAAAAAACGTATTACTTATTTAATCACGTTCAGCCTTATTCTGTTGTTGGAATTTTTTATTTATCGGATCGATGGTTTCTTCTATCCCTCTGCAACGGCAGTGGTGACCGACAGTACCGAGATATCGATGTTGTATAGAGATCAAGAGCAATGGATCTAGGCCCCTCGCCAAAACTACTCATCGGACCGCTTGAGTGATTCGGTAGCTTTAAATTTCGATATCTCGTTACTGTCGGTCACCACTGCCGTTGCAGAGGGATAGAAGAAACCATCGATCCGATAAATAAAAAATTCCAACTACAGAATAAGGCTGAACGTGATTAAATAAGTAATACATTTTTTTTGTGATTGCGGTGGCGGTTTCCATGAAAACTGGCAACCCCGCCTCTACGCGAATTCCGACGGAAATCAGGCAATGTTGTCAACACCATGTCGCAAATGGTCAGTTTAGGTTAGCAAATGTAGCTGGATAAGATTAAATGAGTACTACTTTAAATTGTGATGGCAGCGGTGGTTTTCATTGAAAACCGGCAACACCGCCGCTACTTGAATTCCTAAAAATCATGTGAAAGTTTCAAAAAAGCGCAAAACATGAACTGACTTTTCGAATTTTGTTTGTTCTAGGCGTTTTGCTTTAACATGGAGTTGCGAAACGTACCTAAACGAGCGTCAATATCGGGGTATAGGGCGTGTTGCCGAATTTTCAAATCGCTATAACTCGTGTTCTCTAAGTCTCTCAGAAAAGTATAATATATCGATGGATGCGGAATCGAACGAACAATAATTCCGACAGGTTTTTATTCAATCCCCACCAACCGCAAACACTTTTTCAGGCGGTAACGTGATTTTAAATAATTACGAAAATTAAAAAAATGGCCAAAACGTGGCAACAATGGAGTCAAATTAAAATTTTTTTGGCATTGGTCGATAGAACGTAATTTTTTGCATCTTTTGGTGTAAATACGAGCTCTGTAACTGCATTTCTGCGAAAGTTATGGGTGTTTGAAGGTTACGACTTTAAAAAATGGCAACGCTGATTCCCTGGGGTTCCTGCAAAAACGGAGCTAGGGATAAGCCTCTCTCAACTAGTACTATCAGCTCACAAAGTTTCGTACATTCCGGGCTGGGTACATTTTTCGCCTATATGAATAACCTTCTTTAGAATTTGGATACTCTTTGAATAAAATTTGATTCAGGTAAAATCCTTTTCTCTTTTCTCTTTTATTTCTCCCTTAAAAATGAAATAGGAGTGGGGATTTAAAAACACCGCAAACGAGATATATAGTTTGGGACTTTAACTGTCAACATTTGGCGGTTCCACACAACTTTGAATGATTCAATGATTTTTTTCATGTCCTACAGACAACACAGGCATATTTAGACAATTTAATGGAAGCCTAATTTTAATAATTATGTGCATTACTGTAAAATAATTAAAAATTAGGAAATGTCAATAAAATGAATTAAAAAGAAACACTGATCAAAATGAGGAAAAATGACGAGAGTCACCTTTGAATCAATGTGCTGGGTGAGACACTGCAGCTCATGTCGTTCGTTGCACCCTGTCCTCTCATGATAGTAGCCATTTCCGTTGGCTGCGTCCCTCATTGGACCATTGTTGTTGGCGCATCGGGGCGGTTTACCACATTGCCTCCGCAGGACCAGAGTTGCTGTGCACATTGCAATACAACACAAGCCAATACTGCATCCGACAACAACACCTGATAAATAAAACAAACAAAAAATTGAGTAACCGTCCTTTGCTGCTACTTGATTACACCCACAAGAACTTCTGTCCAAAATGAAAACTTGCACGACATTTGAGTTTAACTTTCTCTTCTCTTACTTCAACTTCTCAGTTATACAGTTTTATTTTGTAATGGGATTAATAGCAGCTTTTCAAAACAGAAGTTAAGGAGTTTCAAGGGCCTTTCAGGGTTCTTGAAACTAAAAATAATCAAAACAAAAGATAAATCACAAGAAGATGTGAAATTCAAAGATTTTGTGTAAATTACAACGGTGCAATCTCCTTAAATTCAAGGATATTAGAGGGTTCGACGGTTTCAGAACGATCTGATCACTTTTTTGTCCACACTTAAATGGGCCTGTTCCAAACTTTTGCTAGAGCAAAAATAAGAGTTGTTTCTTACAGATAATGCCTCAAAAATCACGATGAGCGCATTGGAAAAGTCTGAAATGCACTCATAACTTCACAATCTGCGTAAAAAATTTGCGGTTTTTTGAGCTTCCTGCTTCAAAAACGATACTACGGCACAGGTGAACATTTTGTTGGAGGAGTCGTCCCGTTGACAGCAATGTTCATCAAGGCCGACGCTTGAGAAAAGATCAAGGTCAATTAAGGCGGGCGAGGAAAATATGAATGTAAACACGCCGATTGTTATCTGGTCTTATCCTAGTCAGGTGTTATCTCGTCCCGTTACACGTGTTTTGGCGGATTGGCGTTGGCCATGATGGATATTGCTGACGACGGAACGACTCCTCTAACAAAATGTTCACCTGCGCCGTAGTATCGTTTTGGAAGCAGGAAGCTCAAAAAACCGCAAACTTCTTACGCAGATTGTGAAGTTACGAATACATTTCAGACTTTGCCAATGCGCTCATCGTCATTTTCGAGACATTATCTATAATAAACAACTCTCATTTTTGCTCTAGCAAAAGTTTGCAACAGGCCCATTGTTCAAATTATTAATTGTACATAATATTTTTTTGTCTAATAAATTTGCAAAGGTCGATGATCTTCCAAGCTATCCAAGAATTGCCAGATTGGGGTTGAGCACCCTTCCAGAAAAGTTATAACTTTTTTCCCCTGTTTTTTTTTCTTTCCAAAAAACCTTCCATTTTCAATTCTGTATGATTTTTTGAACTGGGTAGGACAAAATCCTGTAGTGATTTCTTTTTTTTTTTTACAGTGGCTTTACCAGTTTTTTGGCGATCTGGAAGATTATCGACCCCTGTAAATTCGTAGGTCAAAATAGACATCTTGTCCAATCACCACTTGTCTAATGCAGTAATTAGTCCAAGACATTAATTTAATGTAATGACAAGGCATGCAATCACAGTTTTTTATCTTTTATCTGCAATGAAACCAAGTGTCATGAATCGATTCTCATACTACACATTTCATTAAATTTCATAAAATATTTGAAATTTGTGAACTTCCACCATGGGAATTTCATTCTCGATTTTTGTATGAAGAAATTTTGTCGACCATCTTTGGTTAGAACTCATCCATCCGAACAGATCCTACTTTGGGCCAAAAACTTAAGATCTTTGTTCCGAAAAAATTTTGACCTCCATCAGCTAAATCAATTTTAAAATTGAACAGAAAGGAGTGGACAAGTTGTCTGAGGACTGATTTGAAAATGAAAGAATATTTAATGACTTTTCGGTGTTAAAGAATCCTGCAAACGAAGAATATTTTGTTCGCCTCAAGATTGCCAAAAACTAAACAGGATAAGATATGAACTAACCTAGAAATTGATCGCCTGGAGTAACGGTCGGAGCTCGGTTGGATGATGGTTGACCGAGAGAATACTGCTGCCCATCCTTGGGTGGCTGGACTAGTATGAACTGTGTTACGTTACCAGGACCAATTCCTGCACCTGTTTCAGCTTGTACTCTTACAAAGAAAGGTATGTTGGCCTCCAGTCCAATGACCTAAAGAAAATTCAAAGAGTATCATTACCAATCATGAAATAGACAGCACCAATAACTGACAAGGGGAGTCTACGAAGTGACATCCTGGGATTGGGTTCATTTTGCTTGTACATGAGGAAGAGACAAATCTAAGGTTGACGTATTTTTTTTTAGCCGCCACCTCCCAACCGTTCTCGAGATATCGATTTTTAAAGTTACGATTTTTGCACGTTTCTGCGCGGAGTTCCGGCGAGTCAACTGAGCGCCGGCAAGCTGCACGAAGCGCGTTTCTTATCAGCGCTGCTGACCGGCTAAGCTTATCAATTGTTCCGTGGCCGAGTGGTAGAGTGTTCGCCTACTGTTCCATCGATCGCGGGTTCGAGTCCGGCTTCGTAACGTAGCTTTTGGGATCCGCCGCAATGCGTTTTTACAAGTTTTCTTTATTTTTATCACACACCAAGGGGTCCGCCCCCTGGCCGCTACGCGGCCCAACCCCCGGGGCGAAAAGGCCCGCTTCGGGGCAAGCGAAATCATCGAAATCGACCGTTGCCGGTTGCAAATTCAGAGTAAGGATAAAGTCATTAAGAATATTGTGTGGTGGGAATTTTTTATTTGAAACATCATTTTATCATTCAATTCAAATTATTTACCCAGTAACCGTCAACGGTTGATTTCGATGATTTCGCTTGCCGCGAAGCGAGCCTTGCGGCCTTGCGAAGCGGACCGCGTAGCGGCCAGGGGGCGGACCCCTTGGTGTGTGATAAAAATAAAGAAAACTTGCAAGAACGCATTGCGGCGGATCCCAAAAGCTACGGTACGAAGCGGGACTCGAACCCGCGATCAATGGAACGGTAGGCGAACACTCTACCATTCGGCCACGGAACAGTTGATTATCTCAGATGGTCTGCAGCGCTGATAAGAAACGCGCTTCGTGCAGTTTGCCGGCGCTCAGTTGACTCGCCGAAACTCCGCGCGGAAACGTGCAAAAATCGTAACTTTAAAAATCGATATCTCGAGAACGGTTGGGAGGTGGCGGCTAATAAAAAATACGTCAACCTTAGATTTGTCTCTTCCTCATGTACAAGCAAAATGAACCCAATCCCAGGATGTCACTTCGTAGACTCCCCTTGTGAGACTAACTAAACTAGTCTGAAGGGGCCGCTTGTAAGGATGGCGACAATTCGTAAATGTTGGCTGATTCTCTCTATTTTGCTTTTTATTTCTTTGCAGCTCAAGTCTAAATTTCCTCAATTTTTCTGAGTGCCCCTTTGAAAATAGATTGGAGAGTAATGACCATTCATTTATTCTCACTCAAGGTTTTATTTTCTCTGACATTCCAAGCTATTCTTCATTTTTGCCACCGTTTGCGGGTAAATCTTCACAGCCTTGAGCCCATTTTTTTTTTCATCTTAAGCCCGCTATCATCTCTGCAAGAGGTTCTTCCAATAAAAACCAATAAAAAAATGAGATGAGTCATTAACTGCAAACAATAAAAGGTCAATCATCCAAAAATTATGGTAAATATTCACATCAAGTGAAAAATTTTACGATTAAAACCGCAAATGATAAACAAACAAACAAAATTATCAAGAGAGGAGATTACAATAAACTCTATTGTCAGCAATTTGTGGAATTCTTGTCTATCGTACATAAAACCACACACTTCTCAAGATCATTATTTGAAATACATTACAACATGCTGCTGCGTCTCTGAAAATTCCTCATTAGCTGTCTTCTACACACATGGGAACCCGCCTAAGCTGATAGGCTGTTCCTACTGAGAATAGACAAGAAAACCAGGTTTGAAAGTTACTTACGTCCGTTGATGACAGGTTGCCAGGGACAGATAGGTTACGCCATGGTCCTGTGGGATCTTGCAGGTACGATATGAGATAGCGAACTATGATGCCGTTTGCGTAATTAGGTTTCCTCCAGGATAAGCGAACAGATGACTTGTTCAGCACTTTGAAATCAACATTTTGAACATGACCGGGGACTGTAAGAAAAAAATTTACAATTCAAACTTTTCTTCAATGTACCTGTTTACAGGTAAATGAATGTAAGCGCATAAAAACTAATAAAAACGAAGTTACTGACACAGAGGAGTATTCTACGAATAATTTGGGACAGATGACGCTGAGAAACGTGGTATCCTACTGGAATTTTAGGAATTTGAAGTTTGCGGTTGAAGAAACATACCTTTGATAATTTAAAATTCTGATCTGGTCAGATTCAGAGTAAAAAGTTGTTGGATTAAAATAGAACTTCAAATCTTTGCTTGGTGGCATGATGAGCCACATCGCTCGTAGCTTATTCTTTTAGACACTAGGAGAACTTCTTTTAGCTTCAAGAAATTGAAATATTTATTTTCAAAAGGCTCTTAGTGACGAACACTTTTGAGCAGTGTATTTTCAATCATGTTAATTATTTATAAGCTTGTGAGTTTTTGACACTTAGCGCCTTTTAGAAGTGAACTGTTGTTTTATAAAGTTTAAGTTTTGTAAAATCAAAAAGGTAAGTGTTGAGATGACAAGAGAAGTTGATAAAGAATCATTTCAAAATAACATGTATTGAGATTATCTCTTCTACTTAGAGAAAGCAAAAATAAAAACTTACGATCTTCCTTCGTCTTGACCTCTAACTTTCGACTGAATTCACTGAAACCATTTGCAAAATCGTGTGTCCGAACTTTCATCTCATAAGAGGTGAAGGGTTTCAAATTTTTCAATTCAATTTCATTGCTGGTACTATAAAAAAAATACAATAAATCGGTTCATTAGAAGTAAAAAACGTTCGTGGAAAAACCAAAACCATTCAAAAAAAATTAGAGGAAAGTAAAATTTAATACTTCTGATAATAATTTAGTACCTTCGTTTAGCTCCTTTATCATCGTATTGGTCTTTTCCATGACAGGAATAAAAATTTAACAAAAATACAATTTCAAGCTGACAAATGCTCCAAGAAAAATGAGAAAGGGATTCTCTGATGAGCATTTAGTGGTACTAATTGTTCGTTTCAATGCTGAAATGTAATGCGTTCCTTGTGCTGCTGAGCTAAGGAAAAACGCTGTATGAGCCTACAAACTTTGCCATACTTTCTTTGATAAAAAACGAATTTACTGGGAAACTTTTGAATATTCTTTTTTCAAATTTTTCAAACGATGTTTTCGCAATTCAATCTAATATAAAATACTTAAACATTTCAAGCTTCGGCGGTTTTCATTAATGAGGCAGTGTGGACAATCTGATATAAGAAGATCAGCAGTGTCCTTTTTACCAAATCGACCGACACAATGAGTATTTTCAGGATATTTTCCATTAAGTAAATGAATTATACAGCGAAAAAAACACTTCAAAATGAAGATGAACAAAATGATAACTACCTGTGGGCATAGTTGAATTCTTCGTCTTCCCTATGCGTTGAGGGTACCTCTTGGTACGCGACCGTGTAGAAGCTAACGTTGGTATAGCTGGGTGGTGTCCAGGTCAGGTTGATGCTCGTAGGTGAGGAGGGCTCAGCCTCTAGGTCAGTGGGGGCAGGGATATTCAACGCAGAAAAAGTCTTTCCTGTTTCAGGCGGGAAGGTGTGGATGCTGCGAGAAATATTTTCTCCGTCTACCTCTTTCTCATCCAGAAGCGTCACAACGTTGAGGAACACCTCATACCATGTTTGCATTTCTGTGAAAATTTGAAATAAAAGAATATGAGATCTGGTTGCAGGGAACCTGGGTGATTTGAGATTGAACGGTGGAAGTTGTGTATTCTGACGATGAGCAGGCCGTGATCGGTCCGGTCGTACTCTTTGATTTCAACTCCTGTACAGAGATCTTTATAAATCTGAAGAAAAATTTTAATGAGTTTTCCTGTTCCTAAAGTGTGGAAACTGATATGGAATAGCAAATTTAATTCATCAGATCAAGTTTTGTAGAAAACCGACTTAGAGAGAAGTTTTATGTCCTTTAAGACTCAACTTTTCCGGAAAATGTCACTTTCCTTCCTCCATCACACAAGCCTTCAGATGTTTTCTAATTAAAATTCCACAAAACATGTTCATGCAGTGAGCACCTCGATAGATTTCAGAAAAATTCCTCACTGGGAAATTAATAACTTCTCATATCGTCACCTTCCGGGCAAAGTATCACAAGCGCCATGCGACGTTTCAAAATTTCCGCCGCGATTTTATTTTTTTACATAGAAATTTTTGGTTGAATCTATTTGAAAATTTCACTGAATTTTGTCGGCAGTGCAAAGAAAATTTGGTGAAATTTTCGGACAACTTCGTTAAACAATTTCTCTGTAAAAAATTAAAATGATGGTGGAAATTTTAAAACGTCGCATGGCGCTTGTGATACTTTGACCGGAAGGTGACGATATTACACCAGCAGAATGTTTCCTGGAGCTCTCTTTAATCCTAATAAAATTCAAAAATTGAAAATTAAATTACCCAAATCGTTGATGATGAATTCCGTCTGGTTGATTGAGAACAGTGGAAAGGTGGTAAGTGGATCTCCTGAATCTTTTTTCCTGTAACTCAGTTTGAAGCCCTTCAAATTTTCAACTCTCCATTTGTAGGACCATTGAGCCTGCGCAAAAAATTGAGAAATTGCATTGTGAAAAGCAGTTACCATCATCAAAAAGGAGCACTGATATAGGAGTAATTACTATAAAACATTCTTTTGATTGGATTGCATTCAATTTTCTGCATTCCAAGTAAATTTTTGGAGGAGAGTAAGATTCAAAAGCCTTTGGAAATTAAAAAAAAAGGGAGCAAGAAACTGGTAAAAATTAGTGGATTCTTTAATCAAGAAGGATAATGGATTCTTTCAAGATCATAAAAGTAGAGAAAACAGTAACATAAAGGAAGATTTTAAACACCGGATTCTAATACTTAGAAATAAGATTTTAAAGAAAACAAGGAATCAATATAAAATAAACTTATGAATATGTTTCCATTTTCAAATGATAAGCTCAAAAAAATTTAGCTACAAGTTACATCTAAGTAAAGTTTGCTTGGATGTATTCCTATTGACCATAAACAAAACAAACCTCTAAAAATTTTCTTTTGTATGATGCTATTACATTTTTTTTTTTCTTTTTTTCTTTTTTTAAGCACTGCTGAGCAATAGTTGCGCTGGAACACATCAGCAGCGGTCAAGTTAATGGTCCTCCATTCTACAGCTTAACCCTTGTGAAATTTGTGGATATTGAAACACACCATGTATCTGTTTACCTGAATAGAGTTTGTGCTAATGACAAAAAGATGTAGATCTGGAGCTGGTGGAATCATACTGATAGGCATTTCAAATTCCGTCCAATCAAACTCTTGCAACGGCCATCCTTTCTGTGTCCTTCCAGTTACCCGGATTTCATATTTCTGCCCAGGTGATAATCCTGCAATAGAGAAAAATCATGTAAAAGCCTCTTATAAATTCAAACGATTCAAAGGAAAATAATGCAGGAAATAGATGTCAAAACTTTCGCGCCTAAAATAAAAACAAACATTAGGCTAAAAATGCAACAGTAGAGCTGGCAGTTGCGCTAGTTTTAGAATTATCGCAACTTCAAAAGACAGAATTCTTTAATTAGTTACTGTAATTTACGCTAAGTTATATAATTTCAGAAGAAAACACCTTGTTTTTTGTCCTTTTTTTGCCACTTTCAGAAAATATTTCAAACATTTAATTCTCAAGAAAGCCATATTTTTACATTTTTAGCCCGACCATAACACCCCCATCCCCTTTTGATGAATTTCTAAAGAAAATCCTCTATTGAAATACCTGTTATTATGCGGTCAGTCATGTTGCCAGGTGCAGGTTCAACATACATTGAAGACTGTGTAACACGGCGCCACTGAATTTTGTACTCGACAATGATTCCCTGAGCCTCTTCTGGAGTGAGAGGTTTCCACAAAACTTGAGCAGATGTCGTGCTCACTGGCATAACTTTCACCGCTGGAGCTGCGACTGGCACTGGAGAAAAAAAGAGGAAGAATATTAATTTATCTAAGGGCTAAAACCAGTGAAATTTGAGATTTGCAAGGGGCTAGCATGGTGTTCTGGATCTCCCAAGTTTTCTCAAGGCATCATTTACCTTGTTTTTATCAACCATACTTCCAATGTGATGAAAAGATATAGGTGCAAATTAAGATTTAGGTTAAAAAAGTGAGGATTTTTCTTTGTGTTATTCGGTTTTTTTAAGTGCAGGTTGAATATGTTGCCCCTGGAATAAAAGTTTCAGATTTTTTAAAAATTTAACAGCCTTATGATGCCTTAAGGTGTCATTTGCCTGATGATTCCAATGGCGATTGTGAGTCGCAGAGCGCTCTAGTGTGCTGAGGTAGTGGCTTGATATGTAACAGCCTTATGAGATTTCATGAAATATTTCACGTAAAATTCCAGTCTTTCAAAAGTTTCTTTCGTTTCATGCCACCCTGGCTTCATATTGCAAGAATACATCACAGCAGTAATTACGCATGATGAGTACAGGAAGAAAACTCACCAGCTTCACCAGTTGTGCAATGAATCGTAGGTGAGTGATCTGATGGTGCATGGTGGGCGTACGATCGAACATAGATGGAGTAGTTAGTGTACGGCTTCAGCCCATTGATCTGATAAGAGGTGCCTTGTGTAGGCTGCCGGTCCTCGTCAACATTATCTGTAAAATTAAAGAGATTAATTGCTGTGTTTCAAAATCTCTGTTCCTACTTTATTTTTTTAAAGACAAACAAGTCAACGATATAGCTAAAAAATTCTATAGATTATTCTGCTAAAAGAGAGGAAAAATTAGGGAAGTCTTCAAGAAATTGAGTTTAGGGCTGTTCTATTGATTGTTGGTAAGCTACTGAAACAATTCCATTAGGAAAAAGTTACGATAAGAGGGCAGTTACCAATAGCGATCTGAGTTTTCAGAGCTGATGAAAATAAGCTGTTTCCATGTGTACATTTATTTTATGCGCTGCCGCGCCAGGTAATCTGACAAACCGACACACAAGCCAACATTGCATTGAGTGTGAGTTCTCAGAACTCCAATAAGGCCGGCCGTTGACGATATCATCTCCACTGTTGGTACCGACACCAGTATCGGTTTAAGAGAATACCGATGGTTACCGGCAAGAATTTGTTTGAACACCCCATTGAGTTGACTAATTTTTCAACAAAAAAATCAATTATGGCAGGAAGGCTGCAACGCCGCAAATTAGGATACATGATGTTGCATTTTAGCCATCGATATTGAGCAAAAGACATCCTTAAATTGTGAAGAATATTCAGTTAAATTTCCATCTATTTAAAATAATTCTTCTTACTGTTAAGATTAAATATTTAAAAGGAAATTCTAGGAAAAGTGCTTTTTTCGCAACCAAGTCCACTACTATATCCTGTAATCTTGTACAAGAGAACGAATTTTTCCGAGTACAACTCATAATTTGTCTATTCACCAAAATTCAGATGATCAAGTATGCTTACTTGAATAATAATGGACCGAGTAAGCGTGTGGCGTCCAATCCCTAGGCTGTACCCAAGAGACGAATATTGATGAATTGCTGAGCGTTGTGCAGTTGAGTTCTGAGGGCGCTGGGTACTGGTGCGTAACGTTGACAAAGAGCCGTGCTGCTGCAGAAGCGGTGCCTCCGGCGTTTCTCGCCACACATTGGTAGATCCCTGAGTCAGAGGCGAGAGTGCTGCCCACTGAGAGCTGGTAGGTCCCTGAGGAGTTAGAGACGACAACGCCGTCCACCAAGATTTTCTCCTCTTCTTGCCGCATACGTCCTGTTATGAGAGATCAAATCATATTGGATGATGTTGAGAGAGAAAGGAGAATGAATAGAGGACATTTATTAGAATTAGTCAGACATATATGTACAGCAAATGAAAAAAAACACTAGGGAGTGGCCCGAACTGTATGTAACAAGGTGGAGAAATGGTGCTGGGTCCACACCATTTCGCGGGGAAACAAAGCCAAGAAATTCCAAAAATTTTTCTTTTCCTCCAAAATTTGTTTCCCCGCGAAATGGTGTGGACCCAGCACCATTTCTCCACCTTGTTATGTACAGCACGTTTATTGAAGTTTATACAAATTGGACCTGGAAAAAGACAGATTCTTAGCCAAGGACCTGTATCGGGGTGTCTAGTTATTTTTTCATTTTGAGAAATCCAGATGAAACCCAGATTTTTCCTGATTTTTGACTGTAAAATCCTGATTTCATAATTTTTCCAAATCCTGATTTTCGGCAGAGAAAAATTAAAATTTCTGCATAAGCCTATGCAAAAGCAGAACTCTGGAATCAAGTTCTGAGGATGAAAACGAGTGCTTTTCTCAAATCCTCTTTTTACAAACGATTTTTCCTCAAATCCAGATGAAATCAGAATTAAATCCTGATTGACCTCAAATCCTGATGGAATCGGGAAAATCCTGATGCTAGACACCCTGTATCAATCTAGAATGAAGAAAACATAAAGGACATACAAAGAAAGATAGCAAAATATGAAAACCCAAGAGGCACTAGCAGATGCAAGATGCAAGTGCTGAGCCAGAAGCATTGCTTAGCATCTCATCGGCTATAAATTTTCAGAGGCTGTTAAAAGCCAAAGAGGCAAGTCTCTTCCTTTTGAGATGATCTATATTACGTATTTCTTCATACACAGAACACATTACGCCCCTTAAGCTTCAATTATTACATGAAAGATTCAAAGTCACTGAAGACACTGGTGTATTCAACCAAATTTTCACTAACTGATTCACTCACGTAGACTTGAGGTCTATGACATCAAAAATTACCTTTGGGTATCAAAGTTTTTAGGTAGTTTTGTAAGCTTTTTCGAGAGAGCAAACCCAACGCAGTTTGAATCTGGCGGTCAAGATTAAAATGAAGGGTCATGGATATCTTGTTTACCTTTGCATATTTTTTAGAATTTTGTATATTTTTGTTTGCATATTTTTATGCCATTTATGTATCACACTGGGCCACAGAAAAATTAAGACTCTACGTTAAAATTCCTCATCACTACTAAAAGACCAAAGTAATTGGACATGGCAAATAATTTGAAGATTCGGTTATGGAGAAATGAGCGAAACTGATTTCAATATTACAGTGCGACCTTGATTTATCAGATTTCACAAGACCGACAAATCGATCCGTTAAACCCCAGAATTCAAAACAAGCTGCTGGTTCCAACACTACTGTGTTGGAGAGCTCGCCTTTGGGAAACTATTAACAACTATTAATGATTTTTTCTGAAATTGTATATGTATTAAATGAATCTTTACCCAATTATCAGAGGTTACATGCCGATGCAAAATGTTATGACGTAATTTCATATGACAAATTTTTCACATTACAATAAATAAAGAGAAATAAAGAGAGAGAAATGGAATTATCTTTTATGAATGTGATTTTGCGGCAAATGTTGCAATGGCTATTTTTGCCATCGCATTTTTGTTTCTGGCTTTCATCGTTGATAAGCTTTTTCTTAACTTGTCAACAATGTAATGAAATTATATGATTTAATTTTAATTTTTTTTTTTAAATCAAGTCGCCAACTTGAATTAAGGTTATACTTTGTTAAGCTGGCAGTCTGGAATTCTGAATTTTTATCGGCACAGAGTTCAAAGAAACTATAATTTAGCACGGTTTGGAGGAACGTTTCTGCCATAATTCTTACACAATACTTATGGTATACACTAAGAGCTGAAAAGGAATTCACTTGAATTTTAGCGTGGAGCTCGAGAGACCACTTCAAGCCTTTGTATGCGAGTGGCTCAATGGAGCACATCACGCCTTTGTAGGTATGGGGTGGCTCAATGGAGCACCTCGCGCACTATAAATAGCACGGAGCTCGAAAGAGCACTTCATGCATCTGTATTTTAAGGTTAAAACGAACTCTAAAGAAACTCAATGCGAGGCTCAAACGAATTCTCAAGCATTCTAAATGCGAGGCTCAAACGAATTCCCAAGCATTCTTGATGCGAGGGGCTCAAACGAATCCTAAAGCATTCTTAATATGAGGTTTAAACAAACTCTGAAAGGATCCCAATGCGAGTCTCAACCGAGCTCTCAAGCATGCAATTATTTTGAGGTTAATTAACCTTCTATGGTACCAATAACGGCAATCTTCAGGATTATCCATTAATTATGCGCAAATCTCAATCTTAGTCTTAGTAACTTAAAATTAATTGAACAAATTATTAAATCACGTCGAGGTCACCATGTTTTTTATTTTAAGAAATAATAACAATTGCAAGTACAACTGCACACAAAAACTGCATTGAAAATAGGGATGTCGATACTTATCCGATACTTGCAAAGTATCGATACTTTCGATCGATACTTAACGATACTCGGCATCGATACTCCACGATATCGATACCATGCAGTATCGATGCCAAGACCCCAGTATCGACATTATCGATACTTAATCTGATTTGCCCATGAAGAAGGCCTCTTTTTCTTTTTTAAAAAATTCTCTCCCTACTATTTCACCTTCATGATGCACTGTGACAAACGACGGAGTAATCAAGTTTCTCAAGATGATTATACTTCAATAAAAATGGTAAAAGCTCAGTTCGATAACTGTAGTTAAGTTAAGGGCTCAAAATAGTTGACTAAGGACGCGAACAGGGCTTTTTCGAGAGAGGCGTAAATCTGGCGGAATTTAACGGCCGACAGACACATGCACACTTAGAATCACGGCATAATTCAGAAATAGTATCGATGGTATCAAGGTAGATTTACACAGGTATGGACAGAACTTAACAACTGGCCTCTGATTGGCTCTCCAGCGGCCCCTTAACGTCAGCCATTTTGAATGTTTTGATTATTTTGATTTATTATGTTCGGTTTATCGTTTGTCAAAATTTTGTGGGATTTTTTGCACAATTTTGATAATGCGATATTAATTTTAACGTTTAAACGCACAAACGTTTGAATGCTAATTTGATTGTAATTTAATTAAAAAACGGGCCCCTTAACCTACGTCACGTAGTCATGTGACACGTACTGATACTCATGGGAAATTTTCAACTTTTCCATACCTGTGTAAATCTACCTTGGATGGTATCGATACCTCATAAGTATCGATACTTCAGCTCGATGATCGATACCGGTATCGATGCTTAGAGTCGATACCAGTATCGATACCGAGTATCGATACTTCCCTGCGTATCGACATCCCTAATTGAAAAGATAAGAGGATGATAACATACAATTAGGTTATTTGATATAAAACCATAGCAACATGCTATGATATGCTCGGCCACTGGAAAGTGCTGCTCTCTAGTGTAGCAAACGAGGAACAATTAATCCTCAGTTGAATGAGGGAACGGAAATGTTCGACGGAGGAAAACTGTAACCCGCGAAAATTCAACTTTTAGACCTTGAAATCAATGGGATTTTGGCCGTTCCTCCGACGGCAACGAGAACCATCCATTCGTCGCCACGGACACTACCAATGCTAAAAGAAATCGATCGCAAAGAGCTCTCCCGAGTGGGCGAGCTCAAAATTGCGATCGGATTAGCCTAACAGTAATTTGAATAATATTTTGATGAATCGGACGTAGGTTGCTGAAAGTAACTATGTTGCACACAACCTCTATGTATATAGTTCCCATTGGCATAAATACATCCAATTGTCAAATTGAGATTCAGGTGCTGCAAATGAAAATGAAACCCAAATTTAAAAAAATGTAATACTTGAAAGATTCAAAATAGGGACGTACCTTCCAGTAAGAGAGGTTTTCCATCTTTTAACCACATTATTGAGGGCTGGGGATGTCCTGTAGCTGCACATTTGAAGAAGACAGTTCTGGCAGCTACCAATTCCTGAGATTCCGGAGCGACAGTGATTGACGGCGGAACTATGATTTCTATTTCAGTTGTCTGGAGGAAAAAAGAAGATAAAATTCAATTACACAAAAAAGAAATAACATTCAGGAACAGAAGTTTAATAAAATATAATTTTGGACTCAAACAGAATATGTGTAAATTTTATCTGTGCACTTTGATAAATTTATTCAAAGACACACTTAAAAGTACTCACAGACTAACCATATAAATTATAGAGGCGTAATGTAAAGTATTTTGTGAGGAATAAGAGAAAAAAATGATCATTTATTCGTGTATCTTTCAATATAATGATGTAGAAGATCAAAACTAGCAGTCTATAAAAAAGATCAGCAGTATTTTGTTGATGATCCTGAGACTTTGGAGGCCTTCGTCCACTCGAATTTAATTTAAGCTGGTTTTTGTTAAAGTAAAAGATAGACATTCTACCTAGCTTGGATCGATGCTGTTCACAAATATCAATTCCTTTTTGATTTCAAGTCTGACTTACTACAACTTTTTTTTAACCATAGAATAATTGGAAGCAACTTTTCTATTAAATGTTAAAATAAAAAAAAATAAAAAAAAGTATCTTAAAGAGTGTTTTTACTGAATGCTCTTCCTTAACAGAAGAAAAAATATTTCAAAATCATACAACCCCACTACCCAATCCAGAGAGGAAAAACCTCAACTTCCAGAAAGTTGAAAATGAGATCACATAAAATTCCAGGTCATTCAAGTAGCTACCTACACTTAAGCAATGTTTTCGAAGTTAAAAGATAATCAAAGTTGTATAAATTACATAACAAGACACCTTCTATGACTTCTCCTTTAAAAGAATTAAGTATGTTGAGAAATCTGCAATGTTGCACTCTCCTGCTCTGTTATTAAGTTGACGATATTTTAGAATATTTTAGTCAACGTGCCCCAAAATTCCTGCAGAGACAAGTTGCAAATCTGGTAACTAGTAATAGGATGTGTGTGTTCATTTGGCATGTCGTGCGAGTTCCTTAACCTCTAAAAGCTTTATCAATTAAATAAGCCCAAGAGACTCCTCAGCATGGTTTGAAAAGCTGGTTACATAATCTCACTAATGAAGGTGTTCACCCACGTTTTTAATTGCTTGAAAATGAAGCATCATCAAGGATTAATTAGACAGGAAGTGAGATTGTGAGATCAAATTGAGCTATCAACTATTAAAAAGAGAACTGAGGTTAGTGTTTAATGAGTTCCTGCCATCAATAGAGAAAAAATCAACACGGATTGAAGCTTAAGGGAAAAAAAGAAAAGGGCCAAAATGAGCAAAATTATAGAAGTATAATGTATAAAGAAAATTGTGTAACAATAACGAGTATGCTTTCCAAGTATCCTACTTTATGAGAGTTTTCTCCATGTACATTTCAAGTCAGTGAAAATCAGGAGGTGGTCTCAGATATAAATGGCTGCCACCTCCGTCTCTTCTTCTAGAGGTCAAAAAAAGACTGAACTGGAAGGATTGAATTAAGACAGAAGATTGCCGATCCAAACTTTTAAAGTTGTCAAAATTCTTGAAATTGCCGACTGAGACAGAAATGACGTAAGTGAAATTGTAGAATTAGAAAATTATGATTTTGAAAAAGAAACCTCATTTCAGGCTGTCTTACCTGAGTGATAATTGTTGAGGGATCACTTTGAAGGAATGCTTTGCAAGAAAAACTTTTCCCTGAGAGGTCCAAAGCACCTTTGAGTGACAGCACGTTGATTCCACCGTGAGTTTGTGAAATGATCTCGTCCACTGAGGAAAAAATGAAGGGAAAACATATTATTTGAAGCGATTAATTTTTTTCGTCGTTTCCTTTCCCTCGAAAACATACTTCGAAATACTTTTTCCTACGAAAGCATATTTTGAAAGCATAAACGTTGATGCTTGTTTCCTCTCTACCAAGGACAAGGATATTTTAAAATTGAATGTGATACCTCGAATAAATGCGAATTAACATCATAGGTCAGTGATAAGAAAATTCCTCATGTTTCTTCATGAGAATTTTTCAGTTTGAACATTAAGTCTCCACATCTAACTTTAAATCATGGTGTCTGAAATGTTTGACAATTGTCATTTCCTGATTTACAAGAGCTCATTTCTTGATGACAAACCGAAGTTTTCTCCCAATTCCCCAGGATTTTTTTGCAAAGAAGTAAATAACTCTCCAGAGTTCCTGATATGAATATCGAATTTTTTTTAACTTCAGCTGATTCTTCGATATGCATTCAAATTTTCGATCCCCAAAGCGTTCCCGATGTTCACATTATCTGGTCACCAAAAGTTCCTCTATTATTATGATGATTTGAAGATTCAAATATGTCATTCTAGAGGTCAATAAAATGAACCTTAATAACATTTAGTGCTTAAAATTTCCTCACAATTTGGGAACAAAATGGTCTCTGAGCGGTGGAAAAAGAAATTCCCAGTTTTTGTGACAGATTCCCTTATTTTTACCTGATTTTCTCTAAAACTTTTCATTCCCTGATGATTAGGTACCAATTATTCCTAGTCCTTGCTTTAAAATTATCTTAGGGTATATAAAAAAGAGACATCTTCAGAGAGATATTACAGGGTTGCCTTAGAATTGAGAAAATGAAATTCCTTGACATTTCCCCGATTTCCCTGACACATTTTTGTGAAATTCCCTGGCAATTGAAGCTATGTCAAACGGTTAAAAATACATAATTGTGGTTTTCAGGCAAATTTTGTTCTTCGAAACGTCAAACTTGTTCTAGAAAAAAAAAATAAAGATGACTTAACAATTTTTCCTTCACATTTTCGTCTTTTTCCCTGAAATTTTCAGGTTTTCCCTGACTTTTCGAAATCCCCTGACATTTCCCTGATTTACCTGACACATTTTTGTGAAATTCCCTGGAAACTGAATGCCAAGCAGTTAAAAATACATAATTATGGTTTCCATGCAAAATTTGTTGTTTGAAACGTCAAACTTGTTCTACAACAAATAAAGATGACTTCAACAATTTTTCCCTGACATTTTCAGGGTTTCCCTGACTTTTCAAAATTCCCTGACTTTTCAAAATTCCCTGACATTTCCCGGGAGTCCCTGACTGTGGCAACCCTGCACCACTGACACATACCTGGAGAGTTGGCAGTCCATAAGAGTTCAGGTACTTGAGGATAAGCGTAGGCTGAGCATTCCAGCTGAGTTTCGTCATTTTGCTTGAGATACAGTGGATTTGTCGGAGGGGAAGGTGATAGGAACTGAAGGGGTTTTGTTGTACTACTAGAGATTGAGTCGGATCTGACAACTGTCAGATAGCCTGAGGAACTAAGTTTCTGCTTCTTGGTCTCAGGGTTGACCCCCAGACACCTGCAACAAAAAATCAATTGGTCAATCGATTAGTTTCAAAAACTCATAATCCTACTCGAAAAAATAAGAGAAATGAAAACCCCTAAAGATAAGACGGTTAAAAAAAAAAACTTTAAAAATTTCTGTAGCAGTCATTTGAAAGACTTTTTTGCGTTTCCTTGGTTGAAGATCCAATTCTGGAAAAAGGCATTCAGAATCTGCAGGTTGAAAAATAACATGACTTTTTGAAGGAATTTTATTTAAATACGGCGTAACTACTACAAGTATTTCCTTTTATCTATCTACTAAACTTCCTCCTTTTATCTATCTAACTAGTTTAAAACTAAAACTAAACGAATTGCATTCATTTTACAGGGTAACGATGGATAAAACGATGATTATATATATCGACGGTGTAAGTCGGCCATCACATAACTCGTTTGCGGTGTCTGAAAATCTCCGCCTCTATAATACTTTTTTGAAGTAGAACAAATGGACATCATTCCTTGAAGTTTTTGCAGCATTTTCTTCTTACAGAGAAGAAAAATTACGACAGTTTTAAAGAATTGTCGTTGAGTAGTCGCTTAAAAAATAAAGTATGATAGGAAGTCTGCGACGTCGCAAACCGAGTTATGTGATTGCCGACTTACACCGTCGATATAGACAAAGTCTACTTAAAAAAAAAAAAAAAAAAAAAAAAAAAAAAAAAAAAAAACAATCCATGATGCTACCTGAATTATCGGTGGATATCTGGCAACATTTAAATTCTCTTGCAGCATCTTTTGAACGCTCGGCAGGGACAAGAACTTAAGCTGTTTCGACTTAAAGGCACCTCTATACGTTCTTTTTCTTCTTTTCTATTGCCCCGACGGGCGGGCTGCGGGGCGCCGCGCGGAGCTTGTGCAAGCCCAAAAATGGGAAGAAAATCAAAGTTGTTGGAGGCTATTAATTATTCAGCCGGAGCTCCTTATTTCCTGTTCTAATCCAGCCCTTCATCCTCCTTCCCTCCCCCTCCCCGTCCTCACCCCATCCCCCACCCTCCCGACACTCGGGTTGGGTTGCGCAACCTGTTCCTTCCTCGCGATCGCACGGTTGCCGAAAAAACTGCGCTCGCCGACAAGAATTCGGAATGGGTCTGCACGAAAAAAAATTAAATGTCGATTTATCATTTATACTGTGAAAGAGGTGTCCGAAAAGTTTCAAATGCTGATTTTACAGTACAAAAATGCTAACATGACATTTTAATTTGTACGTTTTGCAGTGGGCGTAGTTACGTTAGCATTTGTTAAAATGTAAAATCAGCATTTGAAACTTGTCGGACATCTTTTTAACAGTATAAATGCTGAATCAACATTTAACTTCTCTCCGTGTGTGGCAAAATGTTGCTACAGCGAAAATCGGAGTTGTAGCGCGTAGACGATTTCTCAAAAATCACTATGAGCGCATCGGAAAGATCTGAAAAGTCCTAGCTTCAAAATCTGCGCATTTTTTCAACCCCCCCCCCCCCNCAAAAAAAAAAAAAAAACAGTTAAGAATGTTCGATTTTGAATTCACGGAGTCAAGAATTCTTGGTCATGCTCATTCCCTGGAGGCAACCCGAAGTTTTCTCCCACTTTCCCCGGATTTTCTTGGGGAAAACTTCACAAGTCTTCAGAGCTCCAAACATGAAATATTGACTTGTGTGACCTTTCAGCCAATTCTTTGATGCTTATCAAATTTTCTATTCCAAAAGCTTTCTTGATGTGTATATACTTAACCTGGTCAATGAGAGGTTCTCCGCTTTTGTGATGAGCTGAAAATTCAAATATGCCATTCAAGTGGTATGAAAAGAGATTCCCGGTTTCTGGCACAGATTTTCTGATTTATCACTGAAATTTTTCATTCCCTGTTGATTCCCGGGTTTTCCAGTCCTAGACACCATGATTTTCATCAACTATACATTCGTTTGATTTGTTTCTATTAAGCCGAACTTCGGCTTAGCTGTTGCACGTTGTTGATTCTTCGAGCGACACAAGGAAGCTTGCCAGAACTGTTCTAATGGGCAATTTGATTCAAGCAAAAGATTGTCTCTCATGTGAGCAGGAACTTCTGAATTCTCGTAGTAATTTAAACTAAAAACGTCGGTAGTTAGGAGTTATTTTCAGTAATTTACGTTGCGCGAATCGTGTCTTACATGACATTATAGTCAAGAAACACGTATCAGAATGTTTACACTTGCACTTTGTCTACACTGCCGTGCTAAGGAAAAAACGCCGTATGAGTTTTCAGGCGTTGCCAAATTTCCATCGATTAAACACGAATTTTTGAGAAAATCTACGAATGTTGGGACCACATTTTGCAATACGGAACCATTATTCTTGGCTCAGTTTAGAAACAACATACATGCCATTGGTTTGAGGTGGTTTTACGGAAGAAACAAAGATAGTGCTTCCTTATTGTAAAATGTAATCAATTTGTCTTCCAGTTTTTCGGAGGATTTCGTTCGAACTCTGGTCTAAAATCTGGAAATTTCTAGGAAGAATATCTTCAAAAATAAAAAATTTCTGATGGAAAAATTTGGCAACATTCAAAGGTTTAATTGGCACGGTAGAGTTCTGGTCCATTGCGGCGATTTCGCTGTTCCTTACTCCAGGGTGTCTACGAAAACAGACTGACCAGAAATCAGTACTTCTTCAGTACTTTTTCAGTACATTCCCAAGAAATTCAGTACCTCCTCAACAGAAAAATTCAGCACTTTTTCAGTACCTCCAATTAACGAAATTCGAAAAATTTCAATTTCTCGCTCAAATTGTGACACAAATGACAAAAAATGAACAAAATTCCGAACCTTTTTGCAATTTTTGGAATTTCCGCACTTTTTCAGGACTTCCGGACCGCCCTTAAAAAATCAGTACTATTTCCGGAAATTCCGGACTTGTAGACACCCTGACACTCGTGCGCGAAATCCGAAAAATTTCAAAAATTTGAAATTGCGCCAAAAATAACAAAAAATTAAAACAATTCCGGACCTTTTTGCGGAATTTCCGCACTTTTTCAGGACTTCCGGCCCGCCCTTAAAAAAATCAGTACTATTTCCGGAGTTACCGGAAATTCCGGGCTTATAGATAACCTGTTACTCGTGCGCGAATTTTCAACCCCATTCGAATTTCTAGACACCGAGAGTCTTATTTTCGTCAACTGTGTCGCTTCCGTATTGCGAAAAGGGGCCAATTCCGCGGCCGCGATTGCTCTTGAGGGTGGGGGTAGGTTGTCGCAGGGTGGTTCCCTCTTTTTTCGAACTCGTTCTGCCACCCGATCGGAGGTGACGCAACCCATTTTTCTCTGTGATTAGATCCTATCGAAGAGCCTCCCTCGTTGCATCCACCCTTACGCCCCTGGGATACAGGGCCCTAGGCCCTAGGAGGAGGCTGTGTGCGCACCCAGCGTTGCCTCACAACCCTTTGTTAAAATGTTCACCGACGATGAAACCAGAAAATCGATGGCCGAAGTGCAAAAACACGTATCTCCAGTGCAGTTTTTCAAAAGCTCCGCTCGTATTTGGACCGCGTTAAACAGAAAGGAACCAAGCCACATCAGCTGTTGCCAAATTTAATTTGGCAATTCAATTTTTTACGTGAAAACGGTTGTGCACATTTTCGTGCAAATTTCAGTGTATTTTCTCCATACTACGAAGCTAATTCCTTAAAATTTTCGAATAAATCCACACAGACTTTCGCTCGTAAAAAATTAAATTGCCCGGTTAAATTTGGCAATAGCTGATATGGCTTGGTTCCTTTCTGTTAAATGCGGTCCATTTTATTTTTTTGCATTGTAGGATGTTAATCTTCGTAAATAATTCTTTTCGATATGACCGAAAAATTATTTTGTTTAGGTACACGCAAAAAATTAGTCCGTGCTGATGACAGAACCTTCTGTTCACAGGGCCCCTGTACTTTTTGGTTACAGTTACAGAACTTTCCTGTTGTGAACATAGAACTTCGGTCGTGAGCAAAGAGTGCTCTGTCCTCATGACGGAAAATTCTGTAGCTGTAACAGATAAATGCGCAGGAGCCCTATGAACAGAACTATTCTTTTCAGTGTAATATTATCGGAAGTATCAGGATTTCAGCACTAGAAATAATATTTGACTATATGCCTGGGCAATTCGCCTATTTGCCTGCGACGAATATTTTGGCTCTTCTTCTTTTCGATTGAAAAAAAAGTGATTGGACTTGGTGAACCGTTTGAATGCAGATTTTAGTTTTGAATTTTGAAATCAGTACTTCTACGATGCTTTTTCAGTGCATTCCCAACGAATTCAGTACCTGTCCACAAAAATAATTCAATACTTTTTCAGTGCCTCCACTTGACGAAATTCAAAAAATAAAAATTTGACACTCTCGCTCGAATTGTGATAAAAATGACATAGACACAAAAGCGGATTCCTGAGCTTCTTCCGGAATTTCCGCACTTTTCCAGTGCTTCACAAAGATCGCCCATTCCGGAACTTCTTCCGGAATTTCCGCACTTTTCCAGTGCTTCACAAAGACCGCCCCAAAAATCAACAGTATTTCCGGACTAGTAGACATCCTGATCATCCAGCGGCTGCGCATCGAACACAGCGATCCGCGAACGAGGGTCGAGGAATGCGAGGATGCTTTCAGGTGCTGGTGGGATTGCCTAATCGGGATTCGGAAGGCTGTCTCGAGGGGACCCGGAACCTAACTCAACTCGACAAGGCCTCCCCTCGCACCTTTGAGCCGGGGCGATTGCCGCACTCCCGTTGCGCAACTTTCCACCGCGGGTCCTTTCTTCGTCCCCGAACGTTGGGCTGTTGAAACGGCTCGATTCTTCAAAGAAACCCTATCGACGCAACCGAATTATATCCAAAGCTTCACCGAATCACGGGCGTTTCCACGCCTCAGGGCCGCGTCTCTTCTCGTCCTGCGTCAAATTGTGAAATTCAGGCGTCTTTACCTGGATGATCCTATACAACTGAACATTTTGGTATCTTTTGACATGAGATATGTTTGATGCTCCGCAGAACGAGACAAGATACAATAATAACAATTCAAACAGCGGGCAACAAGGCTAATTTTCAAGTAAATACCATCAAAATGTTTCGGCTGAAAACTCAGCCTTCCTCAGTTGGATAAAAACAGTAAAAAATGGGTCACCAAACCTTGTTTATTTTATTAAATATTCTGAAAGTACTATGTGAGGAGATAACGTGGTGATTTTTCCGCATTTTCATGGAGCCAAAATCGCGGAGAAAACCGCTTATGAAAAATCTAAAAACTGCAAGACATTTCAAACGCACCCGAATGGCGAGAAACTGACGCGGTTGATGTACTGTGGTAGTCATATCGCAATCTTCTCTCATTTTTCTCTGATTTTTGTTAAAATAAAACGTATTTCAATGTGGAGTTGTTGCTTGTTTATTACAGCTAACATATGAATGAGATTCTAGTCTTTAATTCAAAAGATATGATTTCGACTTTAGTATTGTTCTCATTTACGAAGAGTAGATAGACATTTGACGGACGTCGTGGAAACCCGTGCCCGCCTCTGATTGGTGCCGGATGAAATCATTCGGTGCGGCGCGAAACCGGGGCGTTTTAAATTTGCGTATAAGTTGAGCGATTTGAACTGCGCATTTCTCGGTAATTGAGTTACTTGTTCGCATTTATATCCTTTAAATATATCGTGTTATACGTGTTATTTTCATTCAGAAAACTATATTCGCAAGTCAAAATTCGTTCATGGTTTAGTGACTCATTGTAACAATCTTTACAATTTTTTACGGGTTTCATCCGACTGAGGAAGGCTGAGTTTTCAGCCGAGATGTTTTGGTAGTATTTATGAGAAAATTAGCCTTGTTACCCGCTGTTTAATTTAGTATTATTGCATCTTTGGACAGTGCTGCCATTCTATTTTATCAAAGATTCCTGGGTTCTCGGAATAGTTTCCGATTTCCAAAAGTTTGCAATTTCTTCAAAATTTCCGAGGAAAAATTCCGAAATACGCCCGGATTTGGTTCTAAAGATACCATATGATAAGAAAAACGAAAAAATCATCAAATAATCGGTCAATCTGACGAAAAACCCCGACATTCCGAGAGGATTCCAAAAAAAAAAAAAAAATCAAATAATCGGTCAAACTGGCGAAAAACCCCGACATTCCGGGAGGATTCCCAAAATAGCTGGAAGTTCCGGGAATTTCGAAGATTCCGAGGAAAGAACAACTTAATTTGGGGAAAAGGCTGCAAATAAAGAAAAAGGAATAAACAAAACCCGGGACGTTTCAAAATAATAACAATTTCATTATCAACCGGAAAAAAAATTAAAAACAAAAACGAGCCGTCGCTCCGCTGTAATTGCGAGACCGAGACTCGGTCTCGCAATTACAGCGGAGCGACGGCTCGTTTTTGTTTTTAATTTTTTTTTCCGGTTGATAATGAAATTGTTATTATTTTGAAACGTCCCGGGTTTTGTTTATTCCTTTTTCTTTATTTGCAGCCTTTTCCCCAAATTAAGTTGTTCTTTTATTACGTGTATTTTGGCTGATTAAGTTGTTTCTCATTCCGAGGAAAGTTCCGATAATTTGAAAAGTTCCGAGATTCGGAATTAATTTCGGAAAATGGCAGCACTGACATTGGAGAGACAAACAGACCGAAAAGGCAAAAGACACGCTCTACGCCATAGCTCTTTTTTTTTTTTTTTTTTNGGGGGGGGGGGGGGGGGGGGGGGGGGGGGGGGGGGGGGGGGGGGGGGGGGCACGACCCTCCGACTCCCCAGGAGGGATCAGGGAAGGGGGCACCCTTTCTAAATTATCAAAGTTTTTAAAAAATGATTCATTTCTTGTGACACGCGTATTGAGCGTTTCTATTGCCCGCCCCTTCTTCTTACCATCGATTTGCAATGAGAAAGTAAACGTCAAAATAAAATAAAATAAAATAAAATAAAATAAAATAAGAGAAAATGAAATGAAAGTATACCTGTATTCGCCCGAGTCTGAAGTCTGTGCATCCTTGATGTAAAGTGCACCATTCTTCAGCTGAATAAATCTGAAAAATACGATTGGTCTTAAGATAATTCTATTACAAAAAAAAATTGTTTAAGGTATTTCTTTGAAAAAAAGAGGAACTTTTTTAAAGTAAAAAATAACACTCTTTTGACTGAAGTTAACTTTCTTTAAATGAAATGTATAAATTGGTGCTCTTTTTGGCGGAGGGGGGGGGGTGAAGAAAAATATCTATGCTATGATAAGAATGAAAAAGAAAATCCTCCATAGTCCAAAACAAAAATTTTAAAGACAAAGATATTTCTCAAAAACAGAATAACTTCTTTCGATCGAAGAAAACATTTTCTTTCATTGAAAAAAAAAAACTTATGGAGGGATAAAAAACGGACTTACCTATTGTTCTGAGGTAGAGTAGCGTTATTCTTTTCCCAACTGATGCGAGCGGCGGGGACCGAGATTATTTGACAAGGTAATCTGACAGTCTCACCTTCTCCAACGGTCAAGTTCTTCAGGGCCAATTCGGGATCCCTGGAGATGCCTGAAACAAACAAACATCAATTTATGAGTAAACCCGCTTGGGATGGATTGGTCATGGAGCAAATAATCGGAACACCAGTAGGAAATGGGTAACGGGGTTTTGCACTCAAAGAGTACGGGGGTACTCTCTCAAAGAGGGAACGAAAAATTGGCTTTGAGTTCTTGAGTATTTGGAGGAATTGTTTCAGTCGATACTGTTACTCGCTAGGGTTGGCGAATTGGACTGCATTTTGAATTATGGAGTTACAATATTCGGCTTACCGATAAAAGCACTCATGTGTATAGGAAAACTAAATGGTACACACGTTGTTTCTAAACTGAGCCAGAAATTGCGGTTTCTAATTGCAAAATGCTGTCCAGTTTAGATAGAATACTTCGAGACATGTATATGAATTACATTTCGCAATCAGGAACTACAATAACTGGCTCAGTTTAGGAACAATTTTTACAGAATAGTATTACATAGAATACATATGAATGTGATAAATTCTACACATTCTGAAAATTTGAGAATACTTTTTCAAGTATTCTCGAGCTTGAACGTCAAGGAAGCAGAAATTGGCCCTTAAGGCCAGGACCTTTTTTTTTTATCAGATTTCAAAAGCATCGATCGGCACACTGGAAAAAACACATTGGATCTAGACCTAGAGTCCAGACTCTTAAAAAAATCGAAAAGAAAAAATTCTCTTGATTCAATCAGATTTACGCTTAAATCAAGAACCCAGCCTCTTAACTTGAGCGGATTTCCTTTTGATTTAAGCTTAAATCTGATTGAATCAAGAGTCATTTTTCTTGTCAATGTTTTCAAGAGTCTGGACTCTAGATTCAATGTTTTTTGGTTCCAGTGGGATGACGTTCTCTTAGAGATTTTTGATCGTTTCAATCGTGGATTTTTGCGAAAATTCAACCCGAATATCGCGTCCTACCTTAAGAAATGAAAATCGAGGCTGAGCTGCGGATCTTTGAGCGATGCTCTTACGACGTCTGAGAATGCGAGGCGACCGCGCGCGGGTGGCTTTTGATCTCGCAAAGTCGCCAGGACAGCCACGCTACACTGCCGTTCTTAGGGAAAACACCGTATGAACCGTCAAGCGTTGCCACATTTTCTTTGTAATTTATTGGGAAAATTGTGAATATCAGTCTTCAGGGTTGCAGGGTGTCCAGTATTTTTCAATTTTGAAAAATCCTGATATTTTCCTGATTTTTCTCGTAAAAACTATATTTATTGCGTAAATGCATGCAGAAACTAAATTTTCTGACAAAAAGCGAAAAATTCCTGATAAAACGTCCCATTTTTCCGATTTTCCTGATATTTTCCTGATTTTTTCCTGATCGGCCAAAATTCCTGATATTTTCCAGTTTTCCCTGATGGTAGACACCCTGGGTTGCCACAGAATTTAGAAGATGAAATTCCCAGATTTCCCTGACACATTTTGGCGGAATTCCCTGACAATTGATGGTATGCCAGATTGTTAAAAAGGCATAGTTGGACCGCGTTAAACAGAAAGGAACCAAGCCACATCAGCTATTGCAAAATTTAACAGGGAGTTTTCATTTTTGACGAGAGACGTCTGCGCAGATTCCTTTGAAAATTTTAAGGAATTTGCTTTGTATTATGGAGAAAATTCATTGAAATTTGCACAAAAATCCGCACAACTATTTTCATGTAAAAAATTAAATTACCCGATTAAATTTGGCAATGGCTGATGGGGCTTGGTTCCTTTCTGTTTAACGCGGTCTAGTTAGAAAAAGTTTTCAGACAAAATTTGCTGTTTAAAACCTTAACCTCATTCTAGAAAGCAAATAAAGGCGATGTAACTGTTTGTCCCTGACGTTTTCGTCATTTCCCTGACATTTCCCGTTTTCCCTGACATTTTTAAAATTCCCGGAAATTCCCCGGTTTTCCTTGGTAGTGGCAACCCTCAATTTTTTAAAAAAATTTGCTCGCAATGAAATCTAAAATATCGGAAAATTTCAAAGGAGCATATTCATAACTTTCTTCCACAATACATTTTTTATCAGACGATTTGGCAACATTCAGATGTTCTTACGGCGTTGTTCCTTAGCTTAGCGGTATAGCAAAGCGTGGGGCTCCGGCATCAATAAATCCCTGGGGCTTCTGCCCCCCCTCCTTTCTGGTCCCCTCTTTGCGCCACCGACACAGGAGGAAAGCAACGCAAATTGCGGTAATGAACCACGAAGGTTTCCCGAGTAAAGGCTTTCACTCATCGATTTTCTTTCGACGGCGCCGTGCAAATTGTATTAACACTGGAAAAAATGTCCCCTTGTATCAAGAAGAACTTCGTCAAGGAAAAGTAGAAAAAGTAAAGTTCTGCTAGACGGACGTAAATCCAAAATTTCATGAGCCCTGGCGTCCTGCGTGATCAACGAAAGCCAGGGCTATTGCGTTTTTTGACTTGCGCCCGTCTAACAGAAACCGATTCGATAAAAAACTACGCCAAGTTCAGCGAACATTGTAATACAATGTCTAAAAGGTAGTGGCACTGAATATATTGGTATTTGGAGTGTAGCCGAATGCTAGAAATAATGTAATTTTTTTTTTCAATGCAATCATATTTAAATATTTCTTATGCTTGGCGGAAATTCTTAAGGTGAATCCAGGGTTCGATTAGGGATAATTCACGATTAGAGATAGCGCCACTAGTCACCACTGAGAATATCACTTTCCCTCGACGATTACTAAAATAATATTGTTCAAATCACAAAAAGTAGCTCCACAAGATGTAGATTATTTTTTGCTTGATTTTTTCAGCCAAAAATATTAGCAATTAGAATTACAAGCGCAGAGAAAGTACGGCTGAAACTTTCAGCTCAGCGGCGGCGGCCGAGCACGCAACCGAATACCTTATGTCCTGTCTCTCTCTTTCCCATTGCCGCAATGAGAATTACTTTCCGCCGTAGTTACGACTTTATTTTTAGGAATTTTGAGAAGATTTTTTAACTGAGTGTTCCTCAAGTATGTTGCTATATCCCCTGGATCCCCAATCTTGAATAAGTATTCCGGTTTTTATTATTTTGGCAAATTTATACGGCAATTCTGAGCAGCGCGACGTGGTTGCCAAATCGCGAAGTTCTGAGCCTGGATTCACCTTAAACTATTCCACACAAACTTTCATACTTTTAATTTACACGAAATGTAACAACCCTGGCTGAAGCCCGCCCGAGGTTGACGATGACTCACTTCCTCGCATACCTACTCCTCATTGTTGCGTTGCTGGCCTGGCCAGGCCATGCCTCATGCCTCACGGACGCATGGGAAATGCCGACCTAATCGCACAGATTGTGAGTCTGAGCCACCAGCTCCGCCCCGGGATTGTTTTACTACAACTCTGCCGTACTAAGGAAAAACGCCGTATGAGCCTTCAGGCGTTGCCTAATTTCCTTCAGAAAATCAAGAATTTTCGGGAAAATCTGTGAACATTTTTCCTCCATTTTTTCAGATAATTTTGTTCGCAATTTCACCTAAAGGTCCGGAAAAATTTCAAGGAGGAACGTCCACACTGCCGTGCTAAGGAAGAACGCCGTATGAACATTCAAGAGTTGCCAAATTTCCCCGGATAAAACATGTAATTTGACGAAATTTATGAGTATTTTTCCTGGAAATTTTCAGATATTTTAGATTAAATTGCGTAAAAAATTGTGTGAAAAATCGGAAGAAAAATATTTACAATTTCCCCAATAAATTCGTATTTTATCAGAAGAAATTTGGCAACGCCTGAGGGTTCATACGGCGTTTTTCCTTAGCACGGCAGCACAGCTCTCTTCAAAAATAAACATTTTATCGAGGGAAATTTGGCAACTCTCAAATGTTCATACGGCGTTTTTCTTTGGCACGGCAGAATTTTGCTGCCCTCCTGTTATGAGAACGTAACTAGACTTGGTATTGAACCCTGTCGTCCATATAACTTAATGATTTCCCGGGCTCATCTTGAAGTGTACAGTTACGCTCTTTTGCCGCCAAGCGACGGTTTCATCCGACTTTACTCCGGATTTTCTGTCTCCTCACCGCGGAACTTGGACGCTGAGTCATGCTGGCGGTAGAGCCGTGCTGCCATTATATTTTACCAAAAATCCCGCGGTTCCCGGAATTTATTCCGATTTTAAGAAGTTCCCGGGGAAATTCCGGAATACTCCCTGATTTAGTTCTAAGGATCGTCAAATTTGATCCAAAAAGCGGATTCAGAGTTCCCGGAATTTATTCCGATCTCCGGAGGTTCCGAGAAAAATTCCGATTTTTTCAAAAGTTCCGGGACAAAATTCCGAAATACGCAATAATTTAGTTCTGAAGATAGTCTTTGATCCGAATAGCATCAAATTTGATCAAATAATCGGTCGAACTGACGAAAACCCCTAAATTTCGAGAAAAGTCCGGAAGTAGCCGGGAGTTCCGGGAATTTTGAAGGTTCCTGGAAAAGATTACGATCCGTTGTTTGTGACGCACGTATTTGACGTAGTTTATACATAAAACTCTTTTTTGCGGAAGGATGCTCGATGCTCATTTATAGTAATGGAAATGGAAATATGCATACAAAAACTTTATTGCTTCATCTGAGAGCGCTTAGTGAGTCAAGATCTCAGTATTTTAATTAATTTATTCCTGTTTTGGAAAATTCTGAAAATGTAGATAAAATAATATCGCCGCTTGTGCGGGCAGAGTCGAAACAGGCACGGGGGCGTCACTTGAACTATTCATTTCTGTAGATTTACACAGCTAACTAAAATTCTTCCAATTGGACGTATTTCTGTCAAACGGAACTATGTGCATTATGACGTGAGCCCTGTTAAGCATGTACTCTTTTGAGTCTCAGAGCTCATGTCTTAATGCACATAGTTCTGTTTGATGGAAATACGTCCAATTAAGAGACGTGCACCCACTGATATTGCGACAGATCTCTCTGAGGATTGTGGTGTCTACGCGCAGATTTTGGAAACCACCTTGGTTGACGCATAACCTTTAAAAAAAAAAAAAAAGATTTAAAA